TTAAATTTACTTGGAAAGATAACCAAGCTCTATTAGTTATATAATATAAAGATAAGAATTTCCTGTAATAAAAGAAACTAGTTAGAAATTTCAAATAATTCATTAATTCACTCACTAATTATTCAATACATTTTACTAAATGACAGGCACTATTAGGCAATCAAAACAAAAATCCCTGCTCTCACAGAACTTACATAAAAGAAAATTTAAAAACACTAAATACAGATATAGAAAATAAAGATTTATTAAGTAATAACTGCTAGGTTTAAAAAGAAAGAGCAGGGCATGGTAGCATGTGCCTACCATGCAATAGGGAGGCTGAGGCAAGAAGATTGCTGCAAGTTTGAGGTCAACCGGGACTATACATTGAGTTCAAGGGCAATCTGAACTGCATAGCCAGAATCTATCTCAAAAAACATAACAAAACAAAACAACAAAAATAAAAACAAAAGAAAATATAAAGAGGTACAGGCAAGAACATTTATAATTTATATGGTCAGGAAAGATGTCACTGAGAAAATAATATTCAAGTACCATGACCCATAAGATAGCTTTAAAAGCTTATTTCCAGTAGACGAAATTAGTCTAAGTAGAGAGATCCTCTGTTCCAGAAAGCCTTTCTAGACACAACTATGCTTGGGCGAGTTGGAAACTCTTATGGTTGAGATAAGTGTCCCTCAAAGTCCAGTGTGTTTAAGGTTTATTCCTCAGCACGGCACTACTGGGGTGGGCAGGTAAAACCTTTTGGAAGAGGAGTCTAATGAGAGGACCTTAGGTCATTGGGTGCATGCCCTTGAAGGCTATTGTAGGAATTTAGCACATTTGTCTCCCTCTTTTGTTTCCTGGCCATGATGAAAATGGTTTGTCCCACCACAAGCTGCTTTCCATAGATTTCTGGCACATCTATCATAGGTTTAAAGCACTAAGTCTATCTGTTCTTAGCCTGAAATCTTCAAAAATGTGAAAAATAACATTTTCTCTTTATAAGTCTATTATCTTAGGTATTTTGTTACAGTGAAGGAAAGGAATATAAGTACTTTCCCGTGTGTTTCCACAGCATTCACTGCTAAGCCCTATATCACAACCCTTGCTTTACATGGAAACCGCCTGACTACGTGTTTTCTTAATCCCCATAGTAAGGAATGTGTCCATGTGCCCATTACCCTTTGTTCCTAACAGGGTTAACATACAAAATACACAGGGCTGGGGATTTAGCTCAGCGGCAAAGCGCCTGCCTGGCAAGCGCAAGGTCATGAGTTCGGTTCCCAGTACCGGAGAAAAACCAAAAAAACAAAAAAACAAAACAAAAAAAAACCATACAAAATACACATTTGTTGAATAAATGATGGATCTGAGCTGGAGCTAAAAATCCCCGTACAAAAGCCTTAGTAAAAACTTGTTTAAAATATTCAGGACTACAAAAAAAAAAAAAAAAAAAAATGGCAGTTTTAGAAAATCTCCACTCAGAATCATTCTGTAAATTTTTCAGATCTTTCATGTCACCAAGGTAATGTAGCTCAAAATTTGTTAGCTTGCTAATTAAGTGAGACATACTAACTTCATCAACTTTTACCTAGCCAGAAACTTCCAGTAGAAATGGCACAGGGGAGACTACATAGGTAATATACAAAGGCAGTGCTCTTTGTTTGTTCTCAATGGCATTATCCATTAAATCTTTCTTTCTCGGACTTCTTTCCTTAATAAAATAAAGGCCATAGGGAACCAAGAGCAAGTAATCAAAGTAGCACACAATGCTCTCTCTCTTTCCTAACAGTTCTTCCTTTACTGCCTTAGAGAAGAAAAGCTGGGGAATCAGGCTGTCAGCAGGTGAGAGAAACAGTCCTTTTAAGTACTTTGATGTCAGGCTAAACTGAAAACCAGTGAACTCGTACAAATGCCCAAGGAGTCTAAGAGTCTACACTCGATGTTTGAAAGTAAGGTACATTAGCCGAAAAGCATTGAAGTAAATTGTGCATTAATCATCTTATACACTCACATGGTGAATTCACTGAAAGAAAAAGCAACAGAAAATGAGAATGGCGCAACTCACTTGAGATTTCTCTAAAGCTTTTTCTTTGACTCCCATGTCTTATTCATTACATTTTACTAAATGACAGGCACTATTAGGCAATCAAAACAAAAATCCCTGCCCTCATAGAACTTGCATGCAAGAAAATTAAACAGCACTAAAGACAGATATATAAAATAAAGATTTATTAAGTAATAACTCCTAAGTTTAAAAAGAAAGAGCAGGACATGGTAGCATGTGCCTATACTCCCAGCATTAGGGAGGCTGAGGCAAGAGGATCCCTCCCTGCAAGTTTGAGGCCAACCTGGACTACACATTGAGTTCAGGAGCAGTCATATGTATCAAATTCGATATGTTGATAGACATAATGTTTTTACAACATATAAACAAACTTCTTAATCTATATATCAATTAAAATTCACAAGTGTCTTAAGCATTCATATTCATAAAATGAAATTGTGGCACTATACCCAGGCCTGAGGAACATGTGTTTAAGCACAGGCAAACTTCTTGTGAAAGCTGAAAATGAAAAATTGCAATCAGAATAATAGATTTTTGGAAAACTGCTGTAATCTGATATAATTCATTATCATCTGAATACTCAGCCCATTTGACAATGAAGAACCTTCCTTTCTCAGCCCTACTGTCAGCTCCATCTCCTCATTCCACAAATATCACTCCCACTCATAGACCAATAATCACTACAAACAGTAGATGCACTGCAGTATTTTGCTTTGCATTTTCTACTATGTACTGTTTAGCATCTGAACTCCTGTTTGGTTTGGTTTTGTCTCAGTAGTGGGAATTAAACACAGGGACTTCAGCCTTTTGCTTTATTTCTCTTCTTTATTCTCTCTCTCTCTCTCTCTCTCTCTCTCTCTCTCTCTCTCTCTCTCTCTCTCTCTCTCAAACAAGATTTTGCTTAGTCACCAAGTAGCCCAGGCTGGGCTCAAACTTGAGATCTGATCCTCCTGCCTCAGCCTCCCAAAGTGCTGGCATTACAGATGTGCTACCATGCCCAACTTCAAACTCCATTCTTATTAGATTGGAACATCACTTTTTATCTCCTAGGGGGAAGTGGGGCCCAAATTCCTACTATGAAATCAAAAGAAGACAAGATATTTCTTCCCAAAATCTAGAACTCTAGACCTATGACCTAAGCTGGCCCAACTAGATGCTCCTTGTCTGTCTTTCAATCTGAAAGGACTGATTCAAAGTAGCAAGTCTAGCTAGCAGCCAATCTGTGGAGTTGCCTGCTCTACTGACTGTGGCCCCTCTCCTCTTGCTTGTTTTCCAACCTCTTCTTCAGTCTTCTCTTTTCACAACTTCTCTCTGTTTAAATCAGCTAATGTTGGAATTTGTTATGGCAACAATTCTAGCCCCAACTTTAGCTTAATTTTTCTTTCTTGTGTACAACAACTCAGGATGAGCTGCTTCTCATAATTTCTTGTAAAGCTATATTGATGCAAAAGAAGATAATTTCAGAGTCTGGGAGAGTTGGCCAAGCTTTCTAAAAATAGAATGGAACTATGAACTGGTTTCAACACACGAAAGTAGAGAATGAAATTCAAGAGCCTTTATTTAAAAACAAATGTTTCCAAATCCCAGCATGACAAAATCTACTCAAGATGAGCTTTTTAACCAGCGGAAGTTTTGTCACCCAAGAATTAAGATGTGTTAGCAATCTTTGGAGACCTATTTATTCTTAAGTAAGGGAGGATGCTATGGGCATTAGTGAATAGAAGTTAAGGATACTGATAAACATCTTACAGTGTACATGTAGCCAACAACAAGAAATTTTTCATCCAAATGCTTAATAGAGCCAAGATTGAGACATACCTCTGTACATAGTATTCCCTTTATAAATCACATATGATACCGAATAAATGTCCTGCAAATCATGTATGAATAAATGTTCCATGGAGTTAGGACAACTTTCCAGTAGTCCGTAATAATCAACTACTTTCCCAAAACTTCTGAAACCTTATTTCTATCATAAGATTAAAAGAGAAAAATCTTGTAATACTTCTGTCAACATGTTGATCCACCTAAGAGTACAAAGACAAGAAAGAACTAAAAAGAGCCAGTGTGATAAAGAAAGAAACATGTGCCAAGTGCTGCAAAGGGCCTGCTGTGTCTGAGGAAATGACAGGGCATCCAGGCCAATGAAGAGGCACTTAAATGCTGAGGAGGCTGGGAAATAAAGCTTGGGAAGGATTTCTGATCATATCCCAAAGTGTCTTTCACATCCCAGGAGTATAGATTTTACTCTCTGAGTAATAGTAATTTTTAGAAGAAAAGTGAGATAAAGAAATGATGTTACTTCCTCAGGACAAAACTCTAGAATCACTTTAGGTAATGATCTAGCATGAGCAGTCTGGTGACCGAAGACCCGTAGGAGGCTCTTTCAGTCACACGAGAATGAGGAGCCACCTCTAACAATGGTGATGGCAACAAGGGTGCAGACCGAAAGCCAGAAAAGGATTTAAACATATTCTTGAGATTTACCAAGCTGGCTCTGTAAAATGAGCATCTTTCAGTACTATGAAATATAAACTGAAAGGTTATAAACAATCTAAAGGAATTCACACATGTATATTAATTTCTAAGGTGTATCCGGAGAGGGGAGAGAGAAAGGATAGGGAAGAAGAATGAAGATGTGTTATGTACATCTACCAATTCCCCATTATAAATGTAAACATTATGTATGCAAACAGGTACTAATATTTTTTAATGTTAAAAAATAACCACATGTCAGTGAATGTTTTTAAAAAGCTATATAATGAGAAAGTGTGCGGGGCTGGGGATTTAGCTCAGCGGCAAAGCGCCTGCCTGGCAAGCGCAAGGTCGTGAGTTCGGTTCCTGGTACCGGAGAAAAACCAAAACCAAAAAAAAAAAAAAGAGAAAGTGTGCTATTTTAAAAATTTATATATTGCTTCTAGTACCAAGAGAAAGTATATTATTACATTACCTGCTCCAGGACTTCCTTATAAGTAATAGTTTTTTTAGTATTTGTGACAGGACTGTCATAGATGATAGCAATCTTATCCCCTCTACCATTTTCAATATGACGATCAATGGCGTTGTAACAAATGTTCAGCATTCCTTCCACAAACCTGAAAAATAATTGAAAAACAAAAGTGAATCATTATTTGTTAAATATGTTGTTGCTTGGTGAGGTTACTGTATTTCTGGTTCAGCAGAGCTGGTATGAAAGCAGTGTTTCATACTACATGCTATGCTATGCTAGGTAATGGCTATATTTAAGATGACATGGAGTGGACATTTTTAATTTAATAAATATTTTTACATTAATAAATATGTATTTATTTTAGTGCATTAGAAAACAATATACCTTGCACTTCAACCTGAAAACTCTGGATTTTGTTGCTTAGAATGAATCCAGAGTATAGAGTAACAAACTAATCTATTCTACATAGATGAATTGAATCATGTGTAAGTGTAGTGCAGCAGCGTTAGAGATTATGAAAGAGAAAATAGTAGGCATTATCACTAAAGTTTTGGTACCTGCTGCAGACAGACAACTTACTGAAAAATTCAATTCTTTGAAAGAATAGTTATGGATTTTGTGCTTCAATTGAATGGGATAGTATATAGAATATAGAATAGTATAGAATATAGAATAGTAATAGTGTATAGAATAGATATGCTCTTTTCTGCTATCTGAAATGCTTCTTACTGAATAAAGAATGGGCAAACACAGAAAATGTTAAATTTTTGAAATCATTTGCATTTAATTGATCAGTGCTTTAGTTTGAAAATATAGACAGACATCATATAGAAACACGGTTGTCTTGATTACTTTTCTCTCATTGTGGAGACAAAATACCCAATGCCCAAAATTAGGGAATAAAAGGTTTATTTAGCTTACAGTTTGTAAGCTAACATACTTGGCTGGCTCCAAGGCAGAGTGGCACATGGCAGAGGGCAAACGTTCATGGTGGTGGAACAGCAAAGCAACAAGAGCAAAAGGGAGGAGTGGCAAAGAGAGCAAGTCTCTTTCCTTCCCTTATATTGTAAGCAGGCTACCCCCACCCAGGGGCCGTGTAGCACTCATGTAATCTCCTTGACCTCCTCCTGCACAGGCTCAGGATGAATACCAAGTAAGCACCCTGGCTCCCTGCTGAGTCACTTATTTAACCTTCTAAACTTCTCACAATGACACAATGACCAACATCCCAGAAGGGGAAGGGCATGTCCATTTCACCCCAAGATGCAGAACTGCTGAGTCACTTAGCCAAACCTCTAGACTCCCCAAGTTGACACAATGTATCAACCATAACAATGATGATAGGTCGTTTTTTGAGGAATAGCTCATATTTCCAAAAGAAAAAAAAAAACCTTTTATATGATACTTTTTAGGAGTAGAGGATTTGAATAAAATATTCTAGTATTTTGCACAGTAACAATCCATTTTTCCTAACACTGAACTACCAAATACAGTAATACAAAATAACAGAAAATATACTGCAACAGGAAAAGTACTATTAACCCTTCAATGCCCAGGGATGCATTTTTGGCACACCCATAAAAATGAAACATAATGAAATGTGCCATCTTCAAATTCCTGTTCCTTGAATTTTTCTAGGTAACATATGAATCTCATGCATAATTTCAATGAATTTGCATAAATCTCATGCAAATTTCAATCTTCTGTATAAATGGTTTAATTATTGAGTATCACCTTTGTCTTTGTTACTTTCCCTCAATGCTGAGACAAAATACCTGACACCCAGAATTAAGGAAGGAAAGGTTTATTTAGCTCACAGTTTGTGGAGGTTTCAGTCCATATGTGGCTGGCTCCAAGGCAGGGTGACACATAGCAGAGGGCAACAGTTCATGGCGGCAGAACACAGCAAAAGCAGCAAGAGCAAAATGGAGGAGAGCAGGTGGACAGCCTCTTTCTCTCCCTTCCATATGCAAACTACCCACCCCAGGGCAGTGTAGCACTCATACCCATAATCCCAGCATTGGATCATGGATTAATCATAAACTCTAAAAGCCTACCCCATGACTGCATGAGGCTTTGAGGGGACAACCAGATAGAAACCATAATAACAACTTTCAAGTCTTCATGAGGAGCACTGTGAGAAGTAAAACAGTACATTAAAAGAAACTATAGTTACAGTAGCACCATTAACAAATAATAAATGAGAAGACCACATATGAAAGTCATTGAATCAGGTCAGCAAGGTTTATACACTTCAATACTACCAAGTGTGACTGTCTACAGCATAGCATAATATGTAATTAATAAAATGATTCTGAATTTCAAAGTCTGATTTTTTTTTTAACACAGGGTTTTACTATGTAGTTCAGGCTGGCCTCAAACTCAGCAGTCTTCTTGCCTCAGCCTCCCAAGTACACCACCATGCCTAGCTGCCAAGTGTAGTGTTTGTTCAGAATGTTGTCTCTTCACCTTCCCTGCTTCTATCAAAAGCATTTTGTATCTCCCCTCTCCCCTTGGCTCCATGAGTTCCTGAAAAATATGCACTTGATTTGGGGTTCATCTAGAATTTACTTTAGCTAATTCAATGTCAGTACATGTGACACAGACAGAGGCTTGGGCTTGCTCTCCTGCACCTCTATGATCCCCAAAAGAGCACCCCAGGTATACCAGCTACCTTCTTGCTTAGCACTCAGAATCAACATTTTTAGGTGAAAAAAGAGCTCAAACAGCAGGGAACCCAGCCTAGCCTCAAGGTTTTGGAACAGCATGCCTAGCTATGCCTGTCTCAAATCAGCTGACCTCATGGCAACCTGCAGGTACATGAAAGTAACCCTGTGGAGATTATGTGTAGCCATAATTAACTAACACACAAGAAGAAAGATGAAATTTCCTTGGCACTGTATTCCACAGGTAAGGTCATGGGTTTTATAGACTGTCTTGCAAAATACAAATTTACATTTGTGTTTTTGTTTCCAAAAAGAGCATGTCACAGACACATGGAGTGTCTGAAAAATCTCAGTCTCTCTCTCTCTGTGTGTCTCTCTCTCCTCATTATTGTCTCATTCTTTGCTTGTACCTTCTCAGTATCATCTGAAAAATATTCCTGTTCATTGTCTATGATCCCACACATTTCCTATGCAACCTTGTGCTTTTGCTGAATTCTCTCCCTGCATGATCTGTACTCCCTTAGGGCTTTGGTTTCCACATTTATCTCCAGTGATTCTCCCCATTCGAAGCTCCACACTCTTATTGCCAACAGTCTACTGGACATTTGTACATGGAAAAAATCTGAAGCTATAATTATTTCTCACCTCTTCTAACTTTCAGCGCACCCCCAGTTTGAGACCTCTTATTTTCTATATTTCACTGGGTATAAACAATGGCCTGAAACAAATCTCAAAACAGATTTCAAGCCTGCCCAACTATATCCAAAGAGGTAAACGTAACATCACATCTACCTTTTCTATCTGTAATTATTTGGTTCTCTCACAGAGCGCTTCACTTAAATGACAACCTCTTAACTAACCTCCCTGCCTCAAACTTGATGCAATACTTTCAAGCCATCCCTTTATGCTACTAAGATGCCTTTTCTTAATGTACTCTCATGCCAGGTGATGTTTAAAATCACTCCATTTCTTTCCACAAGATCCATAATAAAAATTCCATATCTTTAAATGACATGCAAAACCCATTTATCTCCTCTGGAATATTCAACTTGACACAATCCAGTCATACTGATTTACAAATTGCAGTGTCTTCTGCGGCTGTCTTTCACCTAGTGAGACTTTTTCCTAAAAGCTTTCAAAGCCCAACGTACATACCTTATAGCATTGTATGAACAATTGGTCTACCTATTTGTAGATTTTATTCATTTTACTATAATCTACCTGAACACAGAAACTGTATCACGCTCTTTGGGTACTTCAGAGATCTGCTACAGTACTTGTCGTATATTAGGCACTCAATGAATGTTTGATAACTGAATGAACACAAATACTAGTAAACTTTCAAGAAGCATTGCATTTAGGATTCAGCTGGAGTAACAAGGCAAGCTTTTTCTCTCCCATTTTAAAGTCAAGAAAATAGCGTTAAAATGAATAACACCCAGGGCAGTTGGTCAGGAATGGAAGATAGCTATGCCTGAAACCTACGTCTTCAGACACTAAAGTGGTGTTCACAGCATCATATTGATTCCTTTATTTAAAAATGCCATGTTTTTATCTTCACATTCACTGATGTCAAGATCATCTCCATCCTGCTGTTCAGCCCATTCAGCAAAGTTTTCCTTTCTTTATGGCTTAGATCCATAATGTCCCCCCAAAAGGCAGATCTTTTGGAAAATGATTGGGTCACGGGGCACTGCAGCCATCAGCGGATCCATCCACTAACAAGTTCCATAGCTGAGTGTGCTGGCAGGAGGTAGGGTCTGGGGGGAAGAATCAGGCACTGGAGGAGAGAGACACAGCCTTGCCTACTCTCCCTTCTCGTTCTGCTTCCTGGCTGCCCCAAAAGGAGCAGCTCTCCTCCGCAAGCCCTGCTCTGTGGCCTCCTGCCTCGGACACTGTGAACACAAGCTAAAAGCACCAGCAAAAATAAACCTTTCCTCCATTCAGTTGTGGTGTCAGATGTTCTAGCCAACAACAAAAAAGCAACTTAAGGCATATAGTAAAAGTAAAACATTCCTGCTTTGTCATTCTTTGTATCTCTTGCTTGTTGATTTGTGTTTCTATTTTGAGACTTTCTGGTTTGTATTCAGTGTGCTCATAATAACTTGCTGAGGCATTTTACTTTTGTGATGGCTGCTTTAAAATCCTTGACGTAATTCCAAGTCTGTGCCATCTCACTTTTGATATCTGTTGAATGCTTTCCTCACTCATCATGAGATTTTCCTGGTTCTTGGTGTAACAAATAAGTCTTTGGTTGTGACTTGTGAGTCTCAAGTGTTATTTTGTGATACTCTGGAGCTTTTCTAAAGGTCTGATTTAAACCCTCCATTTTGACAGGGCTCCTCTGACTGCACTGGAGGCAGGGCGACACCTCATTACTGTCACATTCAGAATGAAGCTCCAGTTTATCACTCACTCGACTACCCTGACACCACTTGGGCTGACGGTGCCTCATTTCTGAGGGACTGGATGAAATCTC